GGCGCCGGAGCGCTCCCCCGCCCCGTGCGCTGTCCCTGCGCCCCGCTCCGCCCGCGCGTCTCAGTCCGCGCCGCGCCTCGGGCGTCCAGAGCGCGCCCCTCGTACCGCAGCGAGCGCCGCCCGCGGCAGCCCAGCCCAGCCTTTCTCCTCCTCCTCCTCCTCCTTCTCCGCCGCCGCCGGACACGCAGCTGCAGGCCGGGGCCGGGACGCAGCTGGGGAGGCAGGGACGCGCGCAGCCAGCCCTTCCCCCTCCGGCTCCCGCACCGCCGGCCGCCTCCCCTCGCCCTCCTCCTCTCCCCTTCCTGCTCCTTCGCTTCTCCTCCTCCTCCTCTCCCGGCCCCGGCTGCCAGCACCATGTCCGCAGGGGGAGATTTTGGGAACCCACTGAGAAAATTCAAGTTGGTGTTCCTGGGGGAACAGAGCGGTAAGTACCCCGCTTATTCTCTTGGTTTGGCGTCGAGTCGACCTCCCCCACCTCCCGCAGAATCATCCACCCCCTTGCTATCCCTGGCCCCCGGCTCGGAAAGGCCCCTTCATGCCGGGGTAGAGGGGAGTCATGGGCATGTGGAGGTCGGGGCTGGCTCGGGCGGGGCCGGGCAGGGGAGGGGCCAAGGGTAAGGACAGAGAAGGCGCTGGGGCCAGAGGCGGGGGTGAGGGTGGGATCTGGGGCGGGGGGCTAGGCGTGCGGGTGCAGGTGCGGCCGCGGAGGGAAGGCTGGAGGGCGGCGGCTCGCTCCGCGGCGCTGGCCGAGGCGTGAAGGTGCGGGGCTCTCTGGCTCGCTCGCACTGCGGCACCGGCTGCGGGCGACCGCGCAGGTGGCTGGGCGCTGGCGGGGGTCTGGGCGAGGACGGACGCGCCTCTTTCGGGAACGCGGTGCGGCCGTCGTCTGGCCGCCCCCTACCCCAATGCACCGGAGGGGTTCCCTGCGGATCCTGCCCCCAACCATGCATAATTTCGGGCGCGTCCAGGCCCTGGGCAGACGGCCGTTGGGGGAAGACTGACACCTGTCTCTTCTGGAAGGAGCTAGTCCGGGCCGTGAGGGAAGAGGGCGCCTACTTCCCCAGGCTTACGTCCCCTGGCTAGTCGCCTGGGCAAAAAAGATTCTAGACCTGCTGTCCTTCACGGGCATGTGTAGCCTCTTTGGGGCTCCGGGGTCAGGACGAAAACGAGGATTCCCCAAGGCCGGGCAGATTTGGGGGATGGTACAGGGACGCCTCGCACCTAGAGGCCGCCTCAAAGACTGGTGATGGACAGAGAAAGGACCAGATGACACGCCCTGCCTGGCTCCTGAGCACCCCTCCCCAGAGCGCGTGGGCAGCCGATTCTTCCCACCGCCGCCTCCCAGCTCACTGCCCTTCTTGGGGGAGGGGAGGTCATCGTGGCAGCCCGCCAGGGGCGGGGCGGGGTGGGGTGGGACAGAAACGGCTTCTCTGATGCTAGCAGCCTCCCCTGGTAAAAAGCATCCTTAAAATCCAGGTTGGTTCCAAGGTGGAAAGACCAGATTGAAGAACGTGACTCCTGTGATACCTGTAGGAAGGGTTGGTTCTCAGAGCATCCCTTTTGAGGCCTCTCCCCCAGGGCTGCAGAGGACCTAGCTCTGCTCAGGGAGAAGGTAGTCCCTGGGGGCAGGACTCCCAGCTCTAGCTCTACAGATCAGTTCACAGGGTTTGGTGCCTTTCTGTACAAGGGGCCAAGACACAGGCAACCTTGGAAGAATCTGGTGGGTTCAGGGAACAGTGCTACTGTGGTATTTGTGCATGTGGGTTGTGGAGATCACGTGGCAGTCTCCTGTCTGCTGCTGCCCATTACCTGGAATAGATGATGCAGAGAAGTGTATCAAGGCCCTGACGTGGGGATGGGTCTTGAGGCCAGGCTGGGCATTTTAGAACTAGATCAAATCAGCCAGCCAGCCCTATGTTCTGGACTCCGCATTTCTGATCTTAATAGATTCTAGTTTTAGAGCTCACTTTTACCCGTGCCTGAAGGAGTTTCAGGGGTCTTCACATCCCAGCACTCTTCTCAACGGGCCTGGAGCCCTGGGAGAGACTCTGCAGGGATCAGGCAGCCTGGGAGTTGAATGCCTAGCTATATTGCCTTGAACGGGTTTCGAGGCCTTGCTGGGCCTCAGTTTCCGTCTCTGTGAAATGGTTACTTGTGGGCAGTCCTTCTACCCCTTGTTTCCGCAGTGCCTCTCAGAGGGCCTGGACTCTGATAGGTTCTCAACAAACATTTGCCCATCCTACATCTGAACATGCTTCAGTCAAGGGCCAGGGCTTTCGGGAGGAGAGTGTCTCTAGTGAGTCTGAGTGAAAACTCTGGGCTCCCTCAGAATCCCTGACGAGCTGAGGCCTGCACACCCGCTTTGCTCCTAATATCACAGAAATGAGAGCTTAGGCCTCAGAGATGGAGCTTCACCTCCTCAGCATGTTTAGATGAGAAGTCTGAGCCCCAGAGATGCGGAGGGCTTGCCCAGAGTCTCATTGTGAGTTGTTAACACTTCTGGGGCTGGAACTCACATCTCCTGTTCCTAACATGTCAATGGGAAATAAGATGACCTTGAATTGGGGAAGTCTAGATTTGGGGAGCCTTCCTGAGAGGGGGTGAAGGTTGCCACTATCTGGCTAGGGTTGGGGCTGGGTTGGGCGACCTGGTGGGAATTCTGGGCTAGTTGGTTGGGAGCAGGGTTTGTGGGTACTTGGAACATGGACATTAGGGATAAAAGGCTCTGCCATCAGTGAGATTGGCTATTGGCCACTCTGGTCCTTCCTGGCAGGGAATCATAGGCCTTGAAAAGCCTCCTCCCGCTTGGATGTGTCATCAGTGGGTTGTTTACCTTAGATTTTACAGAGCTTTCAGAGTCCCTGAGTTTGGTAAGGGATTTGTGCCTCTCTGAGTCAGCTGGGACAGGGGAATTGCCACTGCAGCCACTGCTTCCATCTTGCCTGCACATAATTTTGCATGTGTTGGTCCTTTGTGCAAGCATCCTGTGCAGCCTCTGTGGTGGTGGGAGCCCCTGAGGTCTGGCCATCATTCCCACCCTGGCACTCCCTCCCTTGTGACCTTGAGCCAGCTGAGTTCAGTGGAGCCTTCTAGAGCAGCTGGGCATACCTGTATGAGCTGAGTCTACTGGAAAGGGGCCAGGGAAGGGGGCTGGAGGGATGTGGCCTTCTCTTGTTTCCTGTGCCTGACCAGTGGGTGAGTACCCAGCCCAGAGCCCAATGATGAGGAGAAGCATCAGGCCTTCAGAGATGCCAGGGGCCTGGTTTGAGTGGGAAGCTCCTGAGCCACTCTGGAGAGAAGACCTACAGCCGTGAGAGAGCACCCCCTCCTGGCAGCAGAATGACTGCTGTCCCCAGGGCCAAATGATACAGGCCAGCTGACAATGTCAACCTGGCAGTGAGTAGGATTGTGGAGGGTGCTGTGGACCTAGGATGAGTGGTTTTCTTGCAATAGGAAGGCTGTGCTCTCCTGTTGGTGCTCAGATGGCTCTCTGGGCCTACTGGTCATGCCCATGTACTGATGGCAGTGATAGAGGACAGAGGGGCTGATGCACAGCAGTTCTGACTAGGGCGCTTGGCATCCAAAGGAGACAGGCTCTGTCAGGTGTCTGTAGAAGGAGAGCAGGCCTGCAGGACACACGTCTTCCTCGTAAATTCTAATGGCATTCTCGGGCGCCGGGCACATCTCTGTGTGTGTAGTGAGGAGGAGGGATGTGGATGTATCTGCTGCACTCTGGCCTCTTCTGATCTTCCTTCCCTGAGACTCCTCCAGCTAAAGCTGGAAGATTGATGGACATGACAAATTTAGGCTGCTTTTCCAGGCTAAAGCCAGCAGGCCAGCTTCCTCTGACCAGATACCTCCCGGTCCTGCCCCCTGGCAGTCATGCCGCTACAGGTGTCTTCCACCCTGAGCACAATGTGAATAGTGTCCCTGGAGTTGTGCAACACAATGACCCCGTGTGCAGCTGCCACTTGGTCCTTTAGTCATTTGTTCACCCACCCCTCTCTCCCCCCGCCACTTCCCTCTGTCTCGCTTCTTCCTTCCATCATCCGTTTATTTATTTAATCAGATCTTTGAGTGTATCCATGCCTCATGGAACTTATGGTCCACTGGGGAATACAGACATTTGTGGATATAATTACAGTAAAGGTCTGTGAGAGCCATAACAGCTACTCTAGAAGCACATAGCAGAGGCAAAGATGCTTCTATAGACAACCAGCTCCATTGGGCTGAGTGCAAGGAGTAGGTCCTCCAAGGGCCCCGCCCTCTCCAGGAAGCTTTGTCTGTTCTTCTGCTCTGGAGAAAAAGTGTGTGGGATAGAAGGGTAGGAGGACAAGGGCGACTCTCCAGTGTCTGGCTTGCAGGCACTGAGAAGGAGCTTTCCACCCACTTTCTTCCCATTCTTCCCCGTTAAGGAGCATTCAGTGGCCTCCCACTGCCTGGAGGACTCACCCTGGGCCACCCATGGCCTGACCTCCCCAGCCTGATCTCCCACCACCCACGACCCCACAGGGAGCCCTTCTCTGCCTCGGTAGTTGTGCCTGAAGCCCATCCCAGTTTTCTCCTCCTCACCAACTCCCAGACTAGCTGCCCCACTGTGCTTGGCACACCTGGGCACGCACCGTGTTTCTTTTTACTGAGCATTTTTAAAAAGCAGTTAATCGCATGCTACACTACGACCTCTCTGTTGTTTCGGTTACTCAATAAACATTTAACTCATAGAATGTTTATTAACTCTTCTTCAAAGTACAAAAGCCCTAACTGAATTTTAAGCCCCTTCAAGGCGAATTTCAGCTCCTTAGGAGGACTAGGGCTTAGTCATCTTTCCTCCTCCCCATCGTCAGGAGTTCTGTGCTTATTAATTATTTCAGTTTGAAAATGATGCGATTATCTTCGCTGTGCGAGATTCGCTGATGGCCCATCAATAGATTAAAAGCGAAGGGAGTCAGGGCGGCTTTGGAATGGGATTCTTCGTCCTGACTCCTGCTGCTTTCTCAAGCCAGAGGATTTTTACCAGCAACTCTTAAGAATCTGTCTCAGATGACTGGATCATTTAGCCTTGGTCATGCCGGACTCACAGTTCATCTCACAGAACCTGAATTTCTCAGGACACCCCTATCCCCACTACCATCTCTGAAGACCTACAAGAAAACAGTAAGGCCACCAGAGGTGGGAAGGAAGGGACACACCCAAACCTGGTGCCGTCAGAGGTCTGGGGTAAATCACCAAGCTGCCACACAGCTCAGCTTCTTAGCCTTGCTTTCTCTCCTTCCAGTTTCTCTCCCGTCCTTAGTGTCTGGAATAAGAGAGGGAACCTTCGATATTGGGTTCAAACACAGAACCTTTACTTCTTGGTTTTAAAGAGGTGTGTGTTCGGTGAGAGTTAGATGGACACCAAGATGAGAATCAGCCTGTACGTGGTAT